GGCTGAAGGCTGTTGTGGTCCTGCTCTCAGGAAGGACCGGATCACAGTTCAGGAGCGAGAAGCAGAAGCCCTGAAGCAGAAAGAGCTGGAGCAGGAAGCAAAGAGGATGGCAGAGGAGAGGCGCAAGTACACACTCAAGGTGCGGAGGGTTGGGCTGGGGGCTGCGGGGGGCAATCACTGCAGCAAGTTTAGCTTGGACCTCGCTGCAGATCGTAGAAGAGGAAGCAAAGAAGGAACTGGAAGAGAACAAACGCTCGCTGGCAGCACTGGATGCGCTTGATACAGATGATGAGAATGATGAGGAAGAGTATGAGGCCTGGAAGGTCCGTGAGCTGAAGCGCATCAAACGGGACCGTGAGGAACGAGAAGCGTAAGTATTGTCTGTGTAGACACAAGGCTTAGAGCCCACAGGCTCCTCTAAAGAAAAAGCACCTTTTCCTCAGACTGCCCTTTGGCAGCAGGGTCCCAGCTGGACCAAGTGCCCAGAGCCCTTCCTGCTTGCCCTCAGGGCACCTTTGCTCCCTGACAGTAAATGTGTAACCCCTTGGGTGGTAGCTGGTGACAGCTGCTGTCCTGGGAGCTGCCCTGGGGACACGGGATCTCAGCGGCTTCTCTCTCACCCAGCATGGAGAAGGAAAAGGCGGAGATCGAGCGCATGCGGAACCTGACGGAGGAGGAGCGCCGAGCTGAGCTCCGGGCCAACGGCAAAGTCATCACCAACAAGGCAGTGAAGGGCAAATACAAGTTCCTGCAGAAGTACTACCACCGCGGCGCCTTCTTCATGGTTAGTATGCCAAGGGCTGGGCATGGCCACAGGGGCTGTGCCAGACCCCAGGGCCACCTTTTTGCTCTGGGGAGCCTCCCCTATCCTGCAGTGCTCTAGGGCTGAGGTTGCCCTGGGACAAGAGTCAGCCCTCAGAGGCATCACAGGGCTGAAGCTGACTCAGCATGACCTTACCAGACCCTGTCAGGTTGAGGGTTCCCAGCTGAGATGAAGTCAAAGCTGCAGAGCTGTCCCTGTGCTGCTGTCTGGGCCACAGACCCAGCCAGAACGAAGCTAGCTCCATGTGGGCTATGACCTGTGCGTTGGAGAAGTGGCCTGGGGGACAACGCTCACATCCCCCCCTCCAGCAGTAGTTAATAAGGCTGCGAGTACTATGGCAGCCCTGGCAGAGCAGCGATACAAGCTGTGGGCAGCTCCCCCACTTCTGCTGGTGCTGGCCGGAACCTTTGAGGCTGAGCAGACGTCCTTTTTCTGCAGGATGAGGATGAGGAGGTGTACAAGAGGGACTTCAGTGCCCCGACCCTCGAGGATCACTTCAACAAGACCATCCTGCCCAAAGTCATGCAGGTGGGTGCGTTGGCAGAGGGTGCCCAGCCCACGTGCCAGGCCAAAGGGTGGGGGTTCTGGGCAGGGGGGAGCAGCGGGTCCTGCAGCCACCCTGAGCAGCTGCTCACGAGCTCTTCTGCTCCCCAGGTCAAGAACTTTGGGCGCTCAGGGCGGACTAAGTACACACACTTGGTGGACCAGGACACCACCTCCTTTGACTCTGCCTGGGGCCAGGAGAGTGCACAGAACACCAAGTTCTTTAAGCAGAAGGCAGCAGGCGTGCGGGACGTCTTTGAGAGACCCTCAGCCAAGAAGCGAAAAACCACCTAAGGGCACGGGCAGGAGGGTCTGGCGTGGCTGATGCTGGCAGGAGGGCACTGCCCTGCCAGCTGTCGGAGCCTGGGCAGGGACAGAAGGGACTCGTGCCAGGACTCCTGTGGTGACAAGCTCTTCCTCTGCCCGTGCTGTGCCTGCCCTGATGTGGTGTCCCGCTCCCGGTGCTGCACAGACCAGGTGGGCTCCTTGCCTGTGCACTGTAGAGGACAATGGTCTGTGATGCTGGCCAGGCCAGGCCTGTGGACAGACCATGTCCCACCAGCTACCAGTCTGTAGCCTCAGCAGCGCCCAGCAGGCCGTGCAGGAGTGCAGCAGTACCCCTAGATCCAACACACCCACTTCTGGAGAAATTAGAGGACTTTTGTACCCATCTGTTCCACAACACCTCCCCTTTTCTTGTACTGTCCTTGGTGTCAGTCTGGGCCCTGTTTTGGGGTGGGCAGCAGTGCCCCTGTCTCCTTACCCTGTTCCTGCAAGGTTTGGCTTTTCTACCTGTGTGGGGTGGGGGGTTTGATTAAAGATGATTTTTCTTACACGCTCTGGCCCTATTGTTCTTACAGACATGGCCACGTGGTTCTGCGCCTTCCTGTGAGCTAGGGTGGGCACCAGCCTGGGCAGGGCATGCACGGGTGGCTGTCACTGCTGCCTCAGGCCTGTGCCTGGGCCTGTGAAGCCCCAGGGGGGTGAGGTTAAAGGAGGGGAGTGCAGCAAGTGTTGGTGCTCAGGCAGGTCACCTTGTCCTGCTCCAGTCATGGGTGTGCCCAGCCAGTACTGCCAGAGTGATGCCACACTCATCTTCCCGCAGGCTGGGCCCTGCCTGTGGGTCCCAGGAGCCCTGTGGGACCTGCTGGGCAGGTCCTGGCACTGCGCAGACCACAGAGACAGCCCAGTCCCACCAGTGCCTTTATTGGTGCAGTGAGAGCCATGCCCGTGGCCCGGCTCAGTTGGTGAGGGTGATCAGGGCCTCTACCACGTTGCCCATGTGCTCGCGCAGGCTGCGCTCCGCTGCGGCCCGGGAGATCTCCATCTCCGTCATCTGCAGGGAAAGCACAGCCCGGTACAGCAGCTGCAGGGCCCCACGGGCTGGGCAGGGGGCGGTGGACGGCAGCTGCCCGGGAGGACACCTGCCCGGCCTCAGGGCACGCGTGCACCAGCCCCCTCCGTGGGTGCAGTTTCACCCCCAGGTTTGGGACACGACACGGCTCACCCGGCGCCCCGCCTCTACTCACAATCAGCTCCAGGTCCTCCTTCTTGATGGTCACTTTTGCCAGTTCTTTCTCCCTGCGACAAGAGACGAACAAACCTCCGATGATCGACAGCCCTCCCCGGTCACTGCCCCGGCGCAGC